ATGATATTATTCAGTAGGTTTTTAAGTACGCTAGTGACTAAGATGAAAAAATTCCTTCACTAAATGACAGTCTTCCAATATATACAGTCATCAATTTCATACATTTAAAATTTTTTGGTTAATGTACTAAAATAATTTGAATGTTATTATACTAATTATTAAACTTTGTGTTAATTACGTGCATATTTGAATGTGACTTATGTATTTATTAATATCAGTTTCTGAATTTAAGTTCATTTTTATTTCTTTTAACATTTTCTATTAATTAAAATAATAAATATTAAAAGACATTTTAAAAAAATAAATAAATTTCTTAATATCGTAGCGTTCGTGTTTAAGCATGCCCCTAAATTTTAAATTTAGTGACGTTTGTACCATAAAACTACCACTAAGATTAATGACATTCTTATCATAAAAACACTATTAAACTAGAGGTTTTCTTATCATAAAAATGTCATTAAATTAGTGACGTTTTTATGATACAAATGCCGCTATAGTGAAGATTGTCCTGATAAATGCCGCTTAATAAAACGATGTTTTATGATTTAAATGCCACCATACTAACAGCGTTTTTCTAATACAAACGTCACTAAATTAGTAGCGTTTTTTCATATATAAACCTGCAAATATAGCCGGGTTTTATAAAAAAATGCCACTATTTTTTCTAACACGTGTATAGCCGACATTCTTAGTGACGTTTTTTGTAAATGTCACAAATCGTTTAGTGACGTTTATAAATATTGCTAAACGTTGAAAAAAGTGTCACTAAAGACCTAAACCTCTATAGTGTTACCTTAACCTCTAATACTATTAAAATAAATGATAATATGGTAATCAACGTTATCGTAGATGACAAGTGACTATTAAGTGACAATGATATAGCCACCACGTGTTATATTTTTTAAAAATTATTTTACTTTAAGAAATTTATAACTTTTTATTTTTAAAATAAATTTAATTTTTAAAAAATTTACGATAAAGTAACTTTTTTCAAACAATAAAATCTAATTTTTAAATAAAAAGAAAAAAGAAATAAAATTTCTTAAAATTTCTCAAAAAATGATGTTTTTATTTTTATGTTTTAGATTTTTAAAAAATATGATACTTGATAGCCACATATTATTGTATAATAATCACGTGTCATATGCATAATCTTTGACTATCAACTTAACATTTATTTTATAAAGATGGTGTAATTTAATAGATAAAAATAAAATTTTTTTGATAAGAGAAATTCAAAAATAGATAGATTGTTTAGTTTTTTAAGTCAAGACAAGATGTGTTGTATTTAATAGTCTAAAACAAATAACTGCAAGTCATGTATTCGGGATGATCCCAACAAACGACTATCAACATGACTCAAATCTAAAATCTCTTGGTTGGAGAGAATGAATCTTAACCAATTAAGCTAATCATTTATTGATGATACAAGTAAATTTTAAATATTGCACGAGAAGTGATGAGGAGAACGCAGAATGGGTTCAGAGCATTTGTATGTCAGGTGATAAAGGGGTGGTACTAGCACGTATGATCACAGCATGGGTGATATGGACCGAAAGGAAGTGCAAGCAACCCAGAGCACGAATATCGCAACCCAGTCTACACAGATGCGATGGCAGCCTCCCAAGAACAACATAGACAAGGCCAATTTTGACGGCGCATTTAACCAACAATCACATAAGGGAGGGGCAGGTGTAGTGATTCGAGATAATATGGGAATAGTGTTGCCTGCAGCTGCCATTCCAATGGCTGATATAGGAGGACATTTCAGGTTGAAGCTGAGGCAGCCTGTAGAGCACTGGATTTTGCAGTAGAAATGAGGTTCACAAAAATTACTATTGAGGGGGATGCTCTGAGGATTATCAAGGCACTTATTGGACAAGCGACTGACTTGTCACCAGTAAGGAGTATTACTGATGATGCAAAGGACAAAATGAAAACATTTCCAGGTCTCTCATGTACTTCATAGTCCAAGAACATGTAACAAGGCAGCATACTTACTGCCAAGTTTCAGATAGCAAGTTCTCGCAAGACGAATATCATGATTTTCTCTCCAGAGCTGTGCTTGACTATTATAATACTGTGCTTGACTATTATAATACAATTTATTTATGAATGAAAAATTGTCATCTTCTTAAAATATATATATATATATATCACACTTTAAAAATTATAATAATTCAGAAATTATTTAAGACACTTTATCCCTTTATTAAGAAAAAACAATTTATCGTCCTTGAATAAGATAACTATATGGACATATTTCAATATTTCATTAGTTAATTAACAGCCACGTCAATCTTCTCGTCAATTCATCTTATTTTTCTCATGTGCCCTTCTCCTAGTTTTTTTTTAATTTTCTTCAATGCTCTTCTGCTATTGACTACGTGTATATTTTGGTGTGAACACTTTTATTTTTCAATTAATTCGTAATGGATATCGAACGGTTTAGGTGGATTTTTGAATTTGGATATTTATAACCTTTTAGTACGGAGAAATAAAACCACCCATGGTACTGAAGTCTGCGCGTGGAATCTTAAAAAATTAAAATTCCAAAGTGATATCATCCTCCCGTCCTTTCTTTCAAAATGCAATCTGGAAAAATGAGCGAAAGATACGCACTACCCAAAGTATGTGGACCGACGATGAGTCGGTCGATCAAGGTGATATTGACTGCCACAACCGATAAGCAATCGTTCGATCCTCGGCCAATAAGGTATGATCGGTTATTTTATAAAAATTTTAAGATAATAATATTAATCAGAATAATTTTGATATTTTTTTAATTGACATAATTAGTGGAGAGTGGGTCCCACCTCCCCTCTTATGCCTTCTTTCATAAGTTTTCCATTGTGACCCTATCTATATAATTGTTATCGTTTTCTCGTTTTCAATTTTTTTTCTAAAATATATATATGTATATAATTTAGGTAAATGACTTCTCACTTCTCTTTTATGCAGCTATCAGTAGCAGCGTAGCAGTGTCACCTTCAGACGGCAGACCAATTTCAGTCTCAAGAGGGTGGATCTAATCCCTGCACGACGAAAACTGTCAATCCAAGCCCATTTTCGAACTAATCAGTACTGGCTCTGGTCTCTTAAGGCCGCATGTTAGCATCCTTTGACTGATGGAGGTCTGGCACGAATCTTGGTTGGACAACCACTGCCGACAGGGAAGTGGAAAGGGAAAAAATGAATAAAAGAAAAAGATTTCTTTCAGCCAAAGGCAAACAGGCAGAACAAGTTAGACCCATTACAATTATCCAAGATAATTCTCGTTTTTCCTTGTTCGTAGATTGCTTTCCCTCTCCTCTAGACTCTTTTTTTATTCCCTCTTTTCTGATGCATGCATAAAATGATGGGATTTGCCTTTTATGAAAAAAAAAAAAAAAAACCTTCTTTTGTGTTTTAGGATAATTATGAATTATCTCTTAATTTTAAAGAAATATTGAATATTGATGTTTAGATTTTAAAAAAATATTGAATATTGCTGTTTAAATTTTAAAAATTTTTAATGTGTTATTTAAATTATAAATTTATTAATTGAAATAATATTTAAAATTTTATTTATTTATTACGTGTTATTATTTGAAATTAATTATTTTAAAAATAAATATTATATTAGTTAATAAATTTATAATTTAAATAATATGTTAAAAATTTTAAAGTTTAAATATTAAATTAAATATTTTATTATAGTTTAAGAATTATTTATAATATTATTTATTTTTTAACAAAAATGAAAAATCTTTTATTTATCCAATTATTCATAATTATAGTAGTAAAAATTTTGAGAGTTCATTTGAATTGATAGTAAAATTGATTTTGAAATAATAATGAGAGTTCATATGGATGAATAATAAAATTAATTTTAATAAATTTTTGAGAATTTATTTAGATGAATATTGAAATTCGTTTTAATGAAATTAAAAATAGTTATGATGGAGAAATTATTGGAACAATTAAATTAAAATTAATAGTGTAAATATGTGTTTAAATCTAAATATAATAATGATAATAAAGCTTTTTATTTTTATATTAAGATCGTCGTTCGTCGTGAGATCCAATTAATAGCTGACCGTTTCTTTTACACTAACAAATTGAAAAGTAACTCAAAATAATTATATCATGAGGTACTATTCAAATGCATTTCTTGTTGTACTTTAACTTTAAAAACAGAGTTGAATTTCGTTACTATTTTATCCTTGAATTCTATTATATCTACATCAGGTATCCCCAAACTTCAAATTAAAATAATGAACAAAAGGAAGCAAGGAATTAACTTGCTTGTCTATATGGATATATTGTCTCAAACTTATTATTTAATTTCTTAAATGGAAGATTGAAAGTTAATGTTTTGAGTATAATTCAATGATTGAATTAAATATTTGGGTGTTGATTTTTTTTCTTTTTTTTTTGGATTTGGAATATTCAAATTTGATTTTTCAGTGAACAATACATGTTCATACAATTGAAAGAATTGTTCAACATCTTATATGCCAAACTTTATATTCACATGATTTGCAATTTTTTCGAGTGACACATGCCCGTGATTTGTGGTTGTACATTCATAATACTCCTTGCATCTCATTTTTTTAAGATAATTCAAAATTATATATTTTTTAACATTTAAATTTTTTATTTTTTATATTTTAAAATTGTTTTTAAAATTTTATTATTTTTTGACATTAAAAATTATAAAATTTTAATTCTATTAAAAATTTAAATTTCAATATTAAATATATAAAAATAAAAAAAATTTTAAATATCATAAAAATAAATACAACCCCGACAATTTAACATGAAAGGAATAAGAAAAAAAAATGAATTTAAATGAAAGTAATAAAATATAAGAAATAATAATGAATGTGGAGTTGTGGACCAAACAAAAGGTATCGTTGGTAATCGGTCGAATAGCACGTTCGACTGGCGTTAAAGAAAAGAAATCGTTCCAAATCGCGCGACTTTTGGCGACATCGGCCGTCTCTGCTAGTTTTTATAGAGTAGCAAGGAGGAAAAGCCAAGCACTTAAGATCAGCAAAAAATTAACAATGAATCCCTTGACTCTGAGTAGAAGGAAGTCTCCCCTTTCGCTTCCAATTATAAAGCCCCGTTCTCGAAATTCCCTCAGAAACCATCACAAGGTATTTTTGGAACTTTAACTCAGGGAGTTTGTCTCATATATATATATACACACACACACATAGACGTCTTTCACAATTGAATTCGACACCCAGTTTTTTTTTTTTATTATAATGCAAATGTTTAAATTTCTTTCATTTACCTTAACTTTTTTTATCTGATCAATCAATTGAATAAAATAGTAAAGAAAAACCAAAAACAATGTTGCCATTGTGCTACTCATTGAATGTCATAATCTTTTTTGAAAATTGACTACATAATCAATTTAAAAGGGCCCTTTTTCATCTGGGTTAGCAGAAACAATGAGCTGGAGCATATGCTTGGTCACATATAAACCATGACCTAGAGCATATACTTAATTACATTGATCATTGTGATGCTGAGCAACCATTTTTATGAACTCTTGTTTGAGTTCCTATTAGGCTTCATGAAAGACTTCCATTTCCTTTATATTTTTCACTTTTTCTCCATGTTAGATATCAAATCAATCGCATAGGAATCATGCTTTATCATAAAAATTTTCCATGAGAGAGGAGATAATATCTCTAACTGAAAATTTATTTTGCACCAGAAGGAGAGAGGAAAGTCGAAGTACCCATGCAACCGCATGAAAAGGCTACGATCAGAGATGGACGAAATAAGTGTGGAACAAAAAAAGATCAGAGAAGGGCAAAGACAAGTAAGAGAAAAATTTGAAACCGTTGAATTGGAATGTGGCCAACTCCGCAAGCAGACTGACCTTATAGTGCAGCAGAGTGTGAACACCCAAATCCGGCTTGCTGTCATGTTCCAAATCTTGAAGGCAAGAGAAAACCAAGAGTTTGACAAGGCAGCCAAACTCACTTTCGCTCTCCGGTACTTCTTCGGTGCATGTACTCTGCATGTAGTTCTTGTCAAAATTTGTGATCCTGTTGCTTACAAATACCTTTTCCATTTCTATTTATTGCAGAGAACTGATAGCGAGAGAGAATCAGCAAAAGGAAACACTTTCAAATAAATAAAGGGTGGGGACGATGAGCTCTGTTTGTATCATCTCTAGTTAGATTACTGATAATTCTTATTAGGAAATGACGATTACTTTAGACCTTATATCAACCTTTTTGTAAAGTTTATTTAGTTATGACTTACTTGGTTTTGTATCGTATTTGATGTGAAGGTGGATGAAAGTTCTAAGGAAAACCAATATTTCATTTGCTGCTGTTGCATTCAAATCTTCGCGTTTGCTTGTTTTGGTGTAATTGGTGTCGCTGTTTTATGTTCCCTATGTTCTTCAGTGTGGTCATCGTCTTTACTTCTACTTACCGTATGTGTTTTAGGGGATTTGATGTTGTGTTGAGTTTCCCTACGGATATTTCTTTTTTTTCTTTTCGTGGAAAATGAGTTTCCTATATATTTCAATGTATTGACCAAAAGAAAGAAATAAGAAGTTATCGTTATTTTCAAGTACGACTACTTTTATGATTTTTTTTTTCGATTTTTAATGAAAATTTGTATAATTAATGGGATACACTTGAAAGGTTTTTTTACTTACAAATAATGGGATACTATCTATACGATCTACTAATACATTAATAAAAATAAAATATGAAAAGTTTATCATATTAATTTTAATTTTTTCATATTCTATTAATAAATGAATTAAAAATAATCTTTTGAAAAGAATAAAAAAGAATACTTTTTTTAAAAAATATTTTATATTTTCTAATAATTGAATTTAATTAAAACTATAAGAAAAGAATAGGCCATACATTATCTAATATGCTAAGCCATATGGTATTCAAGTCATACGATATCTAACATCTAATGGTCATATTTGATACATAATATTTTATAATAAGATAGTATAAGATAATATTACGAAAATGATTAAATTAAATAATGTTATCATATTTTTTGTTTGATATATATAAAGATTAAGATATGATAATTTATTTGTCAAAATTATTTTTTTTCAAAGTTTATATAATTTAAATTATTGATATAATTTTTAAAAGTATAATTGGATATGTAAGTTTAATATCATAGATTAATTCTTTCCACTTGGGGTGGATTTAATAATCTTATATTAAGAGGATATTAATCCTCCTTACAATCTCTATTCCTTATTTTATATACAAATTAAATATAATATAAAATAATTATTATCCTATTTTATTAATAATCTTATACATCAAACATGAGCAATATATTATTGTTTTTATCTCCAAATTTATATCCTAGTGACATGTGGCATTTTAAAAATTTTAATTAATATTTTTATTTTTTATTATAAATTACATGAATATATTTATACATAAACATAAAAATTCATGAATTTAGAATATTCATGAATTCAATTAATTGTGAATCAATGTATTTAATATTTTGTACCGTTTAAATTTTGAATTTAAATTTATATTTACTATATTTAATTATTCAAGAATTTAACTATGATCAATGAACCCAATTAGTTGTAGGTTAATGATGTTAGCAAACTATTCGTTAACTTACCATTTATGAATATATAGTATTCATTAACTTAATTAATTATGGATAAATGCATTTTTTATTTTGTGTTATTTAAATTTTGAGTTTAGATTTATATTTATATTAAATAACCATTAATCAAATCTAAATAGAATAAATCTAACTATTCATATACTTAATCATTTATGAATCCATGATATCCGTAAACTCAATTAAAAGTACATAATATTTAATGTAACTTAAATTTAATATATTTATTAAATAATATAAATATTCATAAATCAATCAACGTATTAGAAAATAACATTTGCTTTAACGCGTTGAATGTGATCTAGTTGTTATATTAATTTCAATCTCTCCATTTTCAATTTTATTTGAAATTTGTTTTGATATTCTACTTATACCTATCGACTTCAAATAAAATCATAGAAAGGCAATAAATTATAAAATATTATCTAACAATATATTATTTTTATTCACAAAACTCTGTAATTATGACATTTGACAACATGATTCAGCTATTCTTTTTCCTAATATCTTTGTTTTGCAATCCTATTAGCCCCTTCTATTTCCATAAACCAAGGTGTATTATATTTTAATGTTATTAATAGGGTTGTAAACGAACCGAACATGAATGAATAAACATATGTTCATGATTTGTTCGTTTATTTTTAGAGTTGTTCGAGTTCGGTTTGTGTTCGATAAAAAAATTGTTAATTGTATTTGAGCTCGGTTTATTTAAATAATAGGATGTTCACGTTTATTTGTATTCGGTTCATTTAAATTAAACGAGCTTGTTCGTGAATATTAAATAAACATGTTCACGAATATATGTAAACAAACATGTTCATGAACATATTATAAATTATTTTCATGAACAATAAACAAACTTTAACCAAACAAACAAACAAACAAACGATTAATTATAAATTATAAAATCCTATATAAAAATGAAATTAAAAAATCTTAAAAAAAAACCTAAAACCCAATAAACTTGTGATTATCCAACAACTTTTAAAAATTAAGTGATCTTAATCAAAGAACTTATCTTACAAAAATTAAGTGATCTTAACCATACAAAATCATCTAGCAACTTTCATACCAAAAAAATCAATTAAAGAACCAAGAGGTCCTTACTTATCACCAAGCCATTCCATTATCCTCATACATTATGCTAAATTTAACATTGGCAATTTCAACCATTAAACCATCAATCTCAATAAAAATACTATTCATTTTTCAATCTTCAACAACTTAAATTCAACATCTTCATTCTTCAATTGTTAATCAAGAACTACATAATTTGAAACCCATAAAACAAAAAGTATCATTTTAACTTCAATAAGATTTACACAACCATACTACCTCCATAATTCTTGCTAGTGGATAGTGCATAGAAAAAAAATCCAGAACTAGAAAAAGTTCCTCTACAAAACTCCAAAATACCAAATGAGAATTCTGTTCACCAAAATAGAAGAATTGTAAATGGTATAAATACACTAAAGAACTAAGTGTAAATTTTAAGTTATTAAAAATATTTACCTTTAAAAGTTAAAATTAAATAACCTTCAAAGTTCTTCAAACTTCAAAACAGTGAAATCTCTTTAACTTCTACTTTAGCCTATATAAGAAATTAATATTAAATAAAAAACCATTATAAAATTATAAATATATAACAAATAAAAAGAACATGAAAATTACTTTCCTTTTGTTTTCTTTTAAGACTATAGAACTTTCGATACCAGTCACTTCCACAAAGCACCATTTGCACTATATTAGTTCTCAAAGATGAGCAATATGCATCAATAACTCTACCAGCAGCACTGAAAGTTGATTTTGAAGCCATTGTGGTAATAGGAGTAGACAAAATTTCACAAGCTATTTTGGATAAAATTTGAAACTTAAGGTTATTTGCCTTCCACCACTCTAAAGCATTAAATTCCCCAGAAATTTCCTTGCAAATGAACACTCTTTCTTCCAAATATGTATCTAGTTCAGACTTAACATTGTGAATTGTATCCATGCTCTTAACATAATTCTCATACTTAGACCTCCAGGTTAAAATAGCTTTTCCCTTCCCAATTCCACAAGTTGCAGAAACATTGGTGGTAATACCACTTTCTTATGCATCATTTTCCATAGTTGTACAAATATTAGTTGTTGTATAAGCATATACATATTCCTTATAAAGCTCATATAAGCTGTCACACACGATTCTAATATGTCAGGAGCTTTCTTTCTAAAATAGATAACATGAAATGTAAAATCAATCAATGTTATCTTATTTCTAGGATTTAGCATAGTAGTAATAGAGATCGACAAATTGCAATCATCCCAATATTTATCAAATTTATTTTGCATTTACATAGCCATTAGTCTCATCTGAGGTTCTTCACTCATAGATTTTTCATCCAACAATTCTTTTATACTCCAAAGCTCAAGAAGAAATAAATTTAATGTTAGATATTTAGAACCTAATAATTATAAAAGAAATAAATATTCAAATTGAATAACATAAATTTATAACATAAATGAAAAAAAAAAGTTCTAAACTTGAAATATTAAATGTTTATTACCTAAGATGATGTTGGTAACTTCATTAAAAAGTGTTAAAAAGGAACAAACATCCTCAACTCTCACTCAATCTTCATCAGTTGGCAAGTTGGAGTAACTTGAATCTCTTGCTTTATATCATGGAAATACTTCTTTTAACTCTAATGCACATGACAACATAGCATATATTGCATTCCTCCATGTGCAGTAGTCTAAAATCGACCTCTTACTAAGCAACTAAAGCTATTTTACAATATCATTGAACATATTCAAACATAGAGTCCATGTTGAGATATGTTTCACAATTTCCCTTATATTTTTAACTATGTCTTGAATTGTAAAAAGACCATCATACACCAAAAGATTTAAGATGTGAGCACAACACTGAACATGGAATAATTTTTCATCCAAAGAAAGCCTTCTATGAAAAGAAAAACAATATTTCAACATCCTTATAGTTAAATCATTGTAAGAAGCATTGTCCACACTGATTGTGTACACTTTTCTGTTAATACCCTATTCTTGCAAGCATTTGTATAGTTCATCATAAATGACAACTTCATAATGAGGAGGAGGTACATCAACAAAGTTCAAAATTCTTTTTTGTAACTTTCAATCAAAGTCTATAAAATGAGCAGTCAACACCATGTATTGAATCTTCTGACCTAACTTTCACATATCAATCGTAATGCTAATTCTGTCAATTATTTTCAGCAATGCATTTAACATCTTCTTTTATACTTTATAACTTGTCCACTAATCAGCTTTGGTTATTGCACCAGAGATCCTTTAATAATAAGGACTTGCAGTCTTTATCAACAAAGTGAAAAGCTTATATTCACTAAATGTAAATGGTAACTCATGAACCATAATCATATGAGAAACAATCTACCTTATCTTTGCTTGATCATACTTCTAAATCTAAATACAACTCATACTATCTGATTTAGGTATTTGCTATAGTAGATAAATAGTGTTTTGCCCATGTTTAGTCAATTGATGTTTAGGACTGTTAGTTAAATGCCTTTTGTATTGCATAGTTGTACCATCTTTGTTCTTGCCAAGCTTGACCTTGTAATGATTACACTATACTTTTTCACTCCCATCAACAAGTTTAACTATTGTAAATTCTTGCCAAATATTTGATGTATTTTTTCTTGGCTTTTTTGCATAATTAACAATTTCAAATTTATCCTCATCAACACCAATATTTCCTTCATCATTGACTATTTCATTTTTCTCAATAGAAGCCATAGGAATTGATGATGAACCAGTACTGGAATAAAAAGAAAGTCAACTTTTCACAGCTATAGGTAATTAAGAAGTTGAAGTTGAACTAGTATGATTTTGTGGTGAGTAACAAGACATACCTGAAAGTTCATAATTATATCATTTTTAATAAGTACAAAAATACATAATAAAAAAGTTTC